CATGAAAAAAATGTTTATTGTTAAAGGGAGATGGTCTGCATTACTATTAAAAAAAAAAAAAAAAAACCTTTTAACTTTTACCAAAGAGGTAGGATAAGCTCAGTTGTATATACAACAAAATGTATAATACAGGATAAATAATATAAAATATAGTTTTATATAAACATAAGTTTGTCTCATGTGGTGTCAGTGCAGTGACAGTCCCCATGCATCCCCTGTGTGCTCAGCACTGACACTCCGGGAGATGCGGCTCTTCATGTACAATGTTATACCGGTACAGAGCTGCGGATAGGGTTACTTCTAGAACAACCACAATCAGAGGGGTCGTCTACAGTGCTCACATATTTTCTAATTCAAAAGCAAATAAACCATATCAAAATGTATAGAAAACTAAGACGAGAACATAAACAGTCAAATAAAAGAGAGAAAACATTGGCATTGATATATAGTGCGATTATACAACGATACGAGGCATCTATATAAGCCATGCTTTATACAACAGAATTTACATGGTTTCATGAGATTTACTTAGCAATTCAAGGAGATATATATCTATATGTTACAAATACACACACACACACACACACACACACACACAATTTAAATATATTTATATGCACACAGACATGTGCGTAATGTAAGAGTCGGCCTTATTATAAATCTAATAAACATGTATATTTCTAGTCTGTCTATATCATGTGATTTTACTGTCACAGTATTATAACAATAGATATAAATATAATAATAAAGAATACAATAAGGATATACAATATATCTTTTTCATATAAATATGTAAATGCATTTACATAAAAAATGACAATTTAGTGAGAGAGAGGTTAATTCCTGGACCGCAAAGCCCTATACAGCTACTCTGCGGAAACGTTAGTAAATCACCCCAGAACGAGCGGTGCGATGATAACGAAACCGCACGTATCGTTATGTCACTTCATCATAAATAAGGTGCCTGTGGTCACTGTCAATGAGCTTTTCCAAGTGGAATCCCGATATGATAGATAGATAGATAGATAGATAGATAGATAGATAGATAGATAGATAGATAGATAGATAGATAGATAGATAGATAGATAGATAGATAGGATAGAATACTATAAGAGAAGGCCATATGCCCAGTAATCAATACCCACACTGCATGGCACAGGAGGATGAGGAGGGTACAGAGGCACAGGAAATATCCAGAAGAAGAATTATCTTCATGACATCTACACACACTATTCCATAAGTCTCCTGACTATAAATAATAATGACATGGCACAGGCCAGAACTCTCCAAATCTTCCCCAGAAATACTCATCACTTTTCACAGCAAGAGATTCCAAATTCTCATCTACACCAAAGCACAAAACTGCCCAATAAACATACAACATATAGTCTCTGATAAAATGTCCACACACATATTACAGCTCATGGAAAGTAGAATTCATTGGAACTAGCAATGCCCTACAATGGGCAATAAAAAGAGAGATCTGGCACGGTGGTGCCCGGATGGAAATATACAACTAAACAGAATAATAACAATCGTAATAGTAATGACAACCACAACAATATATGTAACACCTACTCATCCTGTACATTGCCAGTAATCAGTCACTGACATACATCGGGTCTCCAAATACATAAATACAAATATTTGTCAGCATCGTCATACTGTAGACCGCCAGTGATCGCGGAATGACAACACTGGCTGAAAGGATTAGCATGAGGGAGCAAAACCTACAGTACTGAGGTACAAAGAAGTCAGGGACTATGATTGGGTGAATCACAAATTATAACAATAATACAATCGTGCTCATGCTGAAAGTGTACATCACTGTAAAAGCATTAAGCCATCTAATTCAAAAATTAAAATAATAATAATATTAATTACAACACAGTTTGCGTGACAGCATTCAGAAAGCGGATGACAAAATGTAAAAATAATAATAATAATAATTAATACAATTATAGTGAAAAGCGAGCCCATTAAATAATAATAATAATAATAATACAATTATAGTGAAAAGCGAGCCCATGAAATAATAATAATAATAATGGTCTGGAATGCAGTGGCGCGGCAGTAATGAGTGAGAGGCTGGCATGATGTCAGACAATATGAGTGCTGAGTGACAGTGATGAGTGTCAGGGGGACAGTGCCTGCTCACCTGATGTAATCTCTCTTGCAGTAGGTCTTGCCATCCCGGACGAAGCAGGTGCAGTTCTCATCCAGGTACTGGCTGCACTCCGCACACTTCAGGCAGGCGGCATGCCACTCCAGGTCCGGGGACACCCTCAGGATATACTGGTCTAGGATGTGACTCCCGCAGCCCACACACACTGCCAATCCAGACTTCTCTGCCAGGGACAGGGGGGACATGTCACATGGAGAACACACTGTCATCACATACTGTCACCAGCAATGACACCACCCCATGCAGGAAGCTTATTTTCTTCTCACAATAACTGGGTTTTCATGCAGAGAAATGATCCAATGACAGCCCCATGCACTCTGCTGCTATGTACTATCCCAGCTCTGGCAGTCTGGTCCAGTAATTGAATCACTCAGCATAAATAATACAGTGAGTGTGTAGAAAACACCCGGCCATGAGAAAATACAATATCACCGCAATGTTTAGGCAACAGCCCCACTTAGGAATCAGTGTAGCAAATCCTGTTCATTAGCGCTTAGTGAATCGGGCCAATACTTGTGTGTCCTTGTCACCTCCAGAGCCAGGGACCTGGATGTGTGACTGCAAAGTGACACTGCTCCTGTGTCCTCTCCAACATACACATCCGTATGGACACCATGGTACAAAGAGCGACCTGTGCCAATATGTGCACCCACCAATCTGTGTACCCCCAATCTGTCTGATCTCATCTATTTATAGCTCTCTCTCATCTTGACCAACATGTGCACTTTATGTATCTATAGATGTGATCTGTACTACGTTGTGCAACTATCAATGTGTGCCAACATATACATCTGATCACCTATCGATCGATCAAATATCGATCGACTAAAATATGTATCTATCCATTCCGAAAAAACAATGTCATACACAAAACAATACAGACATGATGAGAGTCCCCAGTGTCTCCATCTACTTATCTGTCACCCAGACATCCTACCGGCTCCAGAATATACAGAGCCCCACACACTGACATCCAGCAATCTATACATACTGACCACAAACATTTCACATATAGAGGACATACCAGAGTACAGGTCATGAAGATCTATCTGCGAGCACGCACACATATCACAGTGTATATATTAGGTACACATATAAAATAGAAACTATATACATATTACAATGTATATAGGACACCCAGATATTACAATGCATATAGGTACACATAAAATAAATATATATATATATATATATATATATATATATATATATATATGGGTGTTTGTACCCATACACATAGAGAGCTTCTTTTTGGTTTTCTGTTTG